TAAATGTATAAATAGAAATTCCAACAACACAATTTTTTCCTTTAATAAACATAAAACTTCCTCTTTGTTATTATAACATTTATGTTTAGAAACATGGTTGGAGAAAATGTCTACACTTAGTTAGTTTGTCTTTTATTTATATTTATAAAGAATAATATAAGTAAATTAATATTTTATTTTTGACTTTTATTTATTAAAAATAATATAAGTGAATTAATTTTTTATCTTTATGTATTTATTTTAAAACAATTCATAATAAGTATAGTGTATCTATATTTTATGAAATGTAATTTTTATCATAAATATGATTTCAGGTTTTATATTAATTTATTTTGTTTACTATTTTTTTTAATAAAATTTATATAATGACAAGTAATTAATGAATTTTAAGATGATATTATAATTAAGATGTAAAAGTTCCTACACATATTTACTATAAACTTATTTAGAGAATAAAACTGAAATCAATATATATATATATATATATATATATATATATATATATATATATATTAAATCAAATATATACCTATATATTAAAAAAATGTAATTATAACTTTCAATATAAAACGTATAAAATATAACATTTTTCCTAAGTTTGTGCATGATGTTATCTGAGATATACACTACCATTTCCTTACATGTGACACAATTCTCACAACTATTAAACAAAAACACATATGAATTATAAAAAAACTGTCATTTAATATTATCAAGTTAAATAAAAATCAATAATTTAGATTTGATGACTTATCTGCAAAACCAACAGTTAAACTTGTATGTAAACATCAAAACCACATATTTCATTCGAATTCATGACACACATCAAGATGAAAATAATTTCATATATGTTTATTCCATAAAATACCCTTACTTCATATATAATGTCGTATAGAAACTTCTATCAAATATATTCGTCTTTTAATTAAAAAAAAAAGACGAATAGTGAGAGGTAGAAACCACTCTTATGATATTGAATATTAACTATATATGATTGATATATTATTTTATATTATATATTCTTATTTTCTTGTTAATATTAAATGTGAAATGATACATGACGTATACAAATTTTTTATATTAATTTAATACTATTTTTTTTACTTTCTTCCTTTTTTAAAAAAAGTACACAAAAATACTATTTTATCCTTCTTTAAAAAATTGTAAATGTGTATAATTTTACTAATATTAAATTATTTTAATTATCTTAATATTTTATCTATATTATATACTTGTTTTCTTTTTGAATAACCTCGTACTTAAAAGAATGATGATTTGGAAAAATAAATTAAATTTTAAATGTAACATCTCATTCATATAAAATATATTATGGAGTAAGTATCACATATTTAATAAGATAAAACAGTTAACAACACGAGATATAAAAAGTTGCTTTATAGATATACAAAATATAACTATAAATTTAACTGTATATATACAATCTAACAAGACAAAAACTACATACATCACAACTAGTCTAAAAGAAACTAAAAGTTTGTTGCTCCTCCATCCATAACTTGCTCTACATAAATCTCATAATTTTTTGCTTACACCCACCAAATGATCATCGTCATGAAAAACAATGCACAAGAACACTTAAACCAAGAACAAAACACACAGGGTAAGCTAGTGATACAAACCTAATCATAACATATCAAGATTTCATACATGTACTATGTTTCACACAAAATAATTCAAACATCCTAATCATGCCTTTGACCTAGACTTGAACTTATTCGGATTTAGTATGAATGTCAAGCTATGGGGGTCATGCATTTGTGGTGACCTTTACTGCTCTGTAGAACTATTACTAATGGGTTTCATCTTACCACACTCACAAGGTTAGTCTATACCGCGTCTAAGGCGATACTAGAAGCACCTAGAATAATATTTTTTTACTACTCTCACCACATGTATCACGCTTCTCTAATCGAGAATGAATTATCATTAGAGTGTCACGATAACTTCGATGACTGAGCTCTCTGCATTCATACCAACAAATACTAACATTAAGAATTCTCCTTAGAACTCTAATAACCTCAATTCCATCCATACATATGTTCCAAACCATACTACAAATCATAACATAAACAATTATAACATTTAAAACCATGCACTATAGAGAAAGGAAACCAAACACCAAATAAGACTCAGACTCACTCGCCCAACACTAGAATCTGGTTGCCTAACGAGCATAGACTCGCCCAACGAGCAGACTCTACTTGCCCAACGAAAGGAAAACAACAAGTCTCACAAGCCCAACGAGTTGGCTCGCCTAATCATTTGAACTCACTGCCAAAGCTCTCATATACTCGCCTAATGAACTCTCCTTGCTCACCTAGCCTTTCTGCATAATTATGCAGCATCAAAACTGTAGAATTAGCATCCTGAAACCTCCCCATGACTTATCCTATAAAATTTTACCAACTTTTAACACTCTTAGATGGAATTTTAAGCTACAATAAACCTAACCAAAAGTGTATAAACCAAAATAAACTAGTTTTAAACTCATTATACAACGAGATTCTAACTCAACTTAACCAAAACCTCACTTTATAGACCATAATTGAATTTCACTAGTTCTAGCTCATATTTGAGCAACTTAGGGGTCTGAGCAAGTCACAATTGACTCAAAGGCAGACCCCAACCACACCTAAATGCCACATAACATCTCACTACTCAAAACCCCGACTAACACTTGAAATCATCTGATAATACCCCAATGTACTACTACCTATTCCTAGATTAGATTTTAACTAGTTCATCACCCTAACAAGTCTCAAATTACCTCACAATAGATTCTAGAATTCAGTTTTCTCCTTTTAACCCTTAACTTAAAACTTCATATACCAAAACCTCCTTTTCATAACCAAAAATGACTAACAGTACAACCTAACTCATCTCTCTTCAACATTTAACCAAATTTAACACCACCAAACATCTCAACCACAACATTCATCATACAATTTTTTAGTTTAGCACAGAAACATTCAAGGACAACCATCATCATATGATCAAACACTTGTACAATACTTACACAACAACAATTCACCTTAACTAGCATTTTAGCATAATCATTTAACATCTACTAATTTTACACTCTAACACTATCAAAGACTAATTTTACACAACAAAGACTAGCTTCCCTTAATCTAAGGAGAACTATCAAGCTCTAAGAACGCACAACAGTTGCTTCAGGTACAAGGAACTCTAGTAACACCTATAAATCACCGAATTTTGATTGGAGTGAGTCCTTAGAACCTTAAATTAACAAAGAGCCATGAAGAACGAAATTGACACAATCGAAGGGGTTTCCTAAGCATGATCTTAGACAGAGAATTAAAGGAAAAAAAGTATAAACTTACTTATTCTAAATGGAGATTACACTAGGGTGATCTCCTAACCACCTCCTGATAGTCAAAGAATAATTGAGGAGTTAAAACTTTAGAAAAAAGAAAGAAAAAACTCATAAAAAAAGTTTTAGAGAGATGATGAATATTTAGATAATAAAACGAGTTTAAGAAATTCTATTTATATTATTGAATTATTTTAAAATTAAAATATTTGGTTTTATCATTTTAAAACACTTATCAATTTTAATATTCTATTTTCTAGATCATCCCATTTAATTAATAAATTAAAACATTTTATTACTATTTTATTTGAAATAGTTATTACTCATCAATTCTATCGAGTTTCTCAAATACGATATTTGAGATTTAGAGTTTAATAAATATTTTTATTATATAAAAATTTAGAAATAGTTTCAAGTAGTAGCACAACATAAAACGATATAAAATTAGTTTTCTAACACTTTTATGACATATTGAATTCTGTCTAACTGTAGTTAGTTTTAAACTTCATTAATTTATATTTTATATCGTTTCCTGATTTTTTAATATTTTTATTTCTTGTGAATAATATTTTCATTAGTACAAGAAATGATTGACAAATACATGATCAATATTAATATAAAAAACATATTTTCTTAAAAATAATTTTTTGAGAAATTGAATTCCAATGAGCAAAACCTACTTAAAAAAAATTATCTTAAGTTATTGTTATTCCAAACAAATTCAGTTTGTCAAGAGAATTGCTATTTTGTCGGATAAATTGAATACACCTTTTCTAGTCAATCTGTCAGTTCAACTACGCAAATACGAATAAATTGCTATTTTTTTAGATAAATCCAATTAGTTAAGAGAAATAAGAATAAAAGAAGTAAATTTATTCCATTTATAAAAAAAATACATTAAATCAAATTAAAATATATTTTAAGTGAACAATATTAAAAGGACTATAAAAGCCTGTGCATAAAAGTAAAACTTATTTGAAAACTAAAGCTAAATATTTTTACATTTTAAAATTAAAACGAAAGAAAAATTAGAACAACTTGATGATGCATTGAGAACTTAAAATTATTACTTTTTGAAAGCGAACACTAGACCTGTTTAAACAATAATCTAAAGGACCCCAATAAATTATTGCATAAAATAAACTATAGTAAGTTAAAAGAAAAGTCATTTTATTCCTTATATTCTTTACATAAAAGTGGGTTGAAACATTAAATTAAGTAAAGAATTCTGATATAAAAGAGAAAATAGAAAGTAGATATTGGTTTGTCACCTTAGATCTAACCTTCATATTCACTTCGCTTTCATCTCCAACCGTTGCACACGTTAACCTTTCTCTTTCTTCATCACTCATTTTTGTGGTGCCAAAATTGTTAACCCAATTGGAAATTATCACTTTTGGCAACATATGAACAATTGCAAATGACATAGGTTTTCATAAATGATGCAATTATATAATAAAACATTTATTTACATTGATAAGGAGATCTATGGCTAAATTCTACATTAACCAAATTCAAAATCCAATCATATGAACATTTTCTTGGATGATTGATTTACCTAAGTATCTACTATGTTCAATCCATGCATAGCTAGAATGGTAGATCTATGAGGCTATAATCAATGAATGCAACACATGGACCCACCAATCCTCATCTCTTTTTCTCCATTATCACTCACTTGCAAAGCACACTATCATTCTCTTTAGTGGCCACTAGACTTCACCCAGAAACATGTCTTTTTAATGTCCCATTTCCTTCTCTCACACCACACACACATTTTAATAATCTTGATTCTTACTAGGGTTTTGTTTTTGTTTTGGGTTGGTTTGGTTCTTCATCCTTCACTCTCTTAATTACATGAATCACACTCACACAATGTTCTTCTCTCCCATTTCACTGCTTGAAAATGCCTTCAATTTCAGAACTCTATTCTCACTTTCTATTCCAATGTTCAACACTGCAATGATGAATGAAATCGCTTCTTGACCCTAAAACAGTTTCAACTTCTACATTTCATTCTCCATTTTTTATCATCAACTCTAACAAAACCCAAAAGATCTTCTACTTTATTTCATTCTTCTTCTTTTTGTTCATCCATGCATAATGACACAGAAGAAAAAGATGGATCTGAAACCGAAACCATCAAACAAATCATCGATCCGTTTTCTTCTTTTCCACATATAGCAACTGTGAAACCTAATTTCTACACTCTTCCGATGAAACGCACGGTTCGGCCTCTCTTCGCGCTCCTCCTCCTCCTAGTCTTCGCCGCCACGCTCACTTCACGCGTGGTCCTCCGCCGCGGCATCCTCTCCATCGAGCTCGAGTACCGCGTCCGGATCCGCAACCCTCCGCCGCCGCAGCTCAACGACACGCTCCTCCACCACGCCGCGGTGGAGATCGGCGAAGAGAAGTTCAAGCAGGAGATCCAGAACCTCCTCGACGGAAACTTCGGCAGCCATGCGCGCCACCGTACATTCGTCTCCTGGCGTAGATTTATTCACCACGACCGCAGCGGAACCGCCGCCAACATCCCGGCGACGCTCCGGTCGCCCCTTTTTTACCGGTACTGGCTTGACTTCCGGAAGGTTCTTCATGATTGGTTCAGGAAGCGACGATTCCAACCCGGTATCATGTCCGAGTTGACTCGGTCAGTCAAGCTTCCAATTGATTCACACAACAAAGTAGTAACCAAGGGCAAAAATAGATATTCTTCTTGTGCTGTTGTTGGGAACAGTGGGATTTTGCTGAATAGGGATTATGGAAGTGAAATTGATGCACATGAGGTTGTGATAAGGTTGAACAATGCTAGGGTTGATCACTTTGAGACCAAGGTTGGGAAGAAAACTAGCATTTCATTTATGAATAGTAACATTCTACATTTGTGTGCTAGAAGGGCTGGGTGTTTTTGTCACCCTTATGGTGACCACGTTCCGATTGTTATGTATATTTGCCAGGCCGTGCATTTCTTGGATTACACTGCGTGCAATGCTTCTCACAAGGCTCCTTTATTGGTCACTGATCCTAGGTTTGATGTGTTGTGTGCAAGGATTGTGAAATATTATTCCTTGAAGAGGTTCGTGGAGGAGAGTGGGAAGGGCTTGGAGAAGTGGGGTGAGGATCACGATGGGGCTCTTTTTCATTACTCTTCTGGGATGCAAGCTGTGATGCTGGCTTTGGGTATTTGTGATAGGGTTAGCATTTTTGGGTTTGGGAAATCGGCTTCTGCCAAGCATCATTACCACACTAACCAGAAGGCTGAGCTTCATTTGCATGATTATGAGGCTGAGTATGCGTTTTATAGGGACCTTGTTGATGGACACAGGCCAATTCCCTTCCTTGAGGACAGGTTTAAGGTTCCTCCTGTTGTCATGTATCATTGATGGATGTTGAACTGCTCCTGCAAGTGGTAGAGGGCATCTATTAGTTGCTGTTCTGTTATTGTAATATTGTGAGATGCACATATAGTGGAAAGCAAAATACTGATTCAAGATTTGTTTTTGCGTTGTACTGTCCCAAATGAAGCCTCAAGGCAACACCAAGTGTAAATTTTGGTTAGATCAATACAGCTTTGACCCGGAAATGATGATTAAGCATGTCCATATATAACTTGTGTTTGTTCAGGACTCTTTTCTTGGACTCTCTTTAATTGGGTAACGTTGTTTCTCCGGTTGTGATCACTAGCTTACTAACTGGAGTGCATGCCTTCGAATTGGACCAAAATGATTTTCTAGCATCTATGTAAAACATCATGGCCTTTAAACAAGTGATTTGGTAAAAGATGCGGGCTATATCAAGGAATAGGCATATTCGCTAACAGGGATCATCTGCCTGTTTTATCCTTGACTTGATAATTTTCCCGTCCTTTGCGCAGAAAAGGTCACAAGCACTTTATTGGATGTTGAAATGGTATTTTAAAAACTTCGCAAAATACTGGCTTATGAAGCTAAATTATCATTAATTGGCATGCCTCTTATAAGGTTTAGTGTGCAGCCTTGTTAATTTGGTTATAGATTGCTGTTATTTTGCATTTTTAACTCTTAAAATTTTAAATATGCAGAGCGTCTGGTCACTTGGGTGCATTTGGCTTGGTATGTTTCATACAAGCTTTCTCTGTGGCCAAATGCTATTTGGAGGTACAAACTTTCAAGAATATCCATGTTGGTTTTGTGACTATAATGCTCTAGGTTAGATCCATTTTTTAATCATAATTGTCATTGATCATTGATCATGACAGTCAAGTTATACAAAGGACATAATTATACCATTTAATATACTCATGATCTCATTCAAACCGACTGAAGAGTAGTCGACTAAGACTTAACGACATACTGTATGATGTAAATAGTAATTCCACTCTATTGCCGTCATGAGTGGAGCAAAGTATTTACTTACCATAAGTTACTGGTCATTGACTTACATCAAAATGTGACACAACATACAGCCGATTTTGTCACATGTAAATATACATCAAAATGACATAGATAAGATCTTTCCCTAACTAGATAAACCACTGGTACACCTTTCAGACAAGATGGTAGCATTCAACTTGCGCATTGCAAAAAAGCTTTCCTTTCAAGCTCTCTGTTACTCGGCCGTGTCAATCTCCACCCCCTTCTCTTCATATTTCACTCCCACCAAGTAGCTTATGCGTGCCTGGTAAGCAAAAAGTTCACAGATGTAAGAATAATAAAAAATGTTTTAGGATTGTTAATCTGGTCTACTCTTTTGAAGAAAACGGGTAATCTACCTGCTTAGGATCGTAGACAGCATATTCGTTATATTCCAGGGGGCTATCTTGATGATCTGAGGCGACTAGTTTACCGCAAGGAACTTTTATATCATCTTTCCAAACAAAGTGTTCTGATTCATCTGTTTTCTTCTTCCCCAGTCCCTTCACTCCAAGCTTCTTTTCCTCCAAAGACGAAGTATCCTGTGTCAATGATGTTGAAAACAAAATAATTGTTCCGAGTTGGTGATGTCGAAAACAAATTAATAAATGCTCTTAGTGAATGAAGATAACAAGTCCATTTTGGATACCTCGGGTGGGCTTTTAAACTCGGTAACCTCGTTCCCTAGGGAAGCAATGGCCAAAACCAAGAACCCTTCTGGCCTGTCAACAGCAGTAAAACCATACCGTGCAGCCTCTGCTGCAGCATCGGAACAGACTATAGCTTTGCCAAACTGTTGCCAAAAGTACGTAACAAGGGATGAGTGAATGCTTCCAAACATTAAATGTGAATAACGATTTTCATTTCTAATACCATATAACCCGGAACCGGCAGTGAGCATATTGCTTCCAAGAATCCTTTGTGCAAGTGCCTCAAAAGGTTTGAGCTTCGTGTTCCTTGCATAATAGAATTTGTACAGTCATTAAGAAGAACCAACCTAATAAAGTAAGACTTAGTTTTCCCCACTTTCAATTTTAAGGAAATGCTTGAGTATCTTACCACACCATAAAAGAACTTTATTTGGCAGTTTAACTATGTCTTCATAGGACGGGCAGCCACCTGTTTGCACCGAAAAAATGTTTTCCACTGACACCCCGTACTCCTGAAGTTCATTGGAAGTGAACACAAGAAGATATGCGAATGATTTCGTTAAACACACAATACAAAAGTTGGAATCTTACAATGTCACCAACTTTAACTGGCTCATAAGTATTTTCAAGATATTTCACAATCATCTGATAATCATTTGAACTTTTGTCCAGGGGAGTAATTGAGCAACCCAATTTCTTGTATGTCTCCGATAATGGGTCATCGATGGTTGAGCCAGTCATGTCTCCTATGAGGTGAGAAGCGAGGGTTATGTCTCTTGCCCCCTCCAAGGCAGCTGCAGCCTAGGAAAATAAGAGATTACCCGTTGTAGTTAGTGGTCCAATTGAACCAATTCAGGTAGTGACCAACTGTGCTTACATGGTCTGCAATCTCTTGATAATCTCTAAAATTGAAAGGCCTTGTGGAATGCATAAGCGTGAACCATCTTTGGCTAAAATCAGTCCAAACAGCCTCAGCCTTGGGCCCAGTTTCTTTCAATGATTTCACCTTTCCTATGAATTCTAAGAGGACGTCCTCACCTGATAAGGTTCAATTGTCAGTAACTTTCTTGAGTGACATTACAGAAGTAGGAAAAAACAGTTGCACATGTACGTACATCTTTTCAGATGAAGATTTGTTACCATTCCTATTGGAAGGTCCGGAGAGTCGTAACCCATCTCCATCAATGCATACCTGAAAACAGTGTAGGTTATTTTTAAACTTCGTAATAATCCCATGCATTATAATGATCAGATACTGTGGTTACTTGTATATCTCCTTGCTGCACAAAACTTTCATAAAATTTGCAACCAAAGGCTCAAGTTTACAGTGTGTTACTGCTATCCCCAGCTGCCGAAGACCTAGGGCTCCGTGTCTAACTTCAACTCCATCATCCTATTCAATTTCATAGTCCTGTGTTAGCCAAAAGAGGAGGCATGGGCAAATAATTTGGTAGAGAATAAATATGTATTGTACCATATCAATGGGATAGAACTTCAATGGCTTCTTCTGGAACTTTTTCTCTCTTTCCCAAGGTTCAAACTCATTTCCTGTTATTTCCTCGAAGAGTCTCGCAAACTCTTTCAGACAACTGCCTTCGTTGTCCCACTCTTCTAATCGCTCCTCTGCATTTGGATCATCGCCAACTCTCCCTTTCTTAAAGTACATATGCAAACGATTTTCTGGAACAACGATTAGTTGCATGATACAGTAGCTGCCACAAATTAACACCAACAACTTAGGTCAGTTATCCTATATATGTCAATATGGACTAGAAGTGATTTTAGTGTTCATAATGGTACTCGTTCAGTCCGCGTCCTTGGTCGCAAAGGGAAAAGGCACAGTTGTATAATATCCCATCTTTTTCAAATATCTTTCCCCCTTGTTCCTGCAACTTGGTATCTTTGTAGACCCCTCTCTTCCCATAAAGTTTGAGCTGTTTTGGACAAATTTAATCAAACACAAATAAAAGGGTGCTCGATGTGTTATTCATGAATTCAATTTAATAAAAACATAGGTATGCAAGAAGAAATTAATTACTTCTGCTGAGAGTGATTCAATAGCCTCTTCCCCAGGATCCTGTTTGTCCCAGGGAATTCCCTTGCCATCCACAGAAAGATCAGAGACAAGATCGTAAGCTTCCAAAGGCTGTGGTTCTTGCTTTTCTATGCTGTCAACCAGCCAAGCCTCCCTAACCACTGGTATACTTCTCTCCCTACAATAAAATACCTTCAGAATCAACTAGGAGTGCTCTATTGTATTATTACCAATGTGGCACATTAGCCACTCTATAACTCTGGGTTTTATGAACACTTATTTATGGGATCATTTTTCTAATGGCAAAACAATGGTGTTCATGGACAGACTACTGCTCATAATGTTCATAAAATTTAACCAAACAAACCAAGATATTATCACACTCATAAATAAGGATTACGACAAAGGAAAAACGTTGCCTATAAACTTAAACTACGCTCACATGGCTTCTGCAAGTTTGGATGTCCCACCACGTTCTCGCTCAGCGGGTGAAGCTACCAAACAGGTAGCCCCTGCAAAATTTAACAAGCCAGGTTATGGTTATTCCTGGCAACAAAAGGATGACAAAATCAATTCTTACATTATATTACCAAGTATAGAGTTTGCCACTTTCCCTCCTTGCTTTTCAATAACTGTTTTCCAATAATGCTTGGTAGCCAAAAACAGAATGTCAAAATCCAATCGGTAGAGGGTATTAATGCAACAACAGTGAGAGTGATACATACATGTGTCCTAGTAAGACGACCCATCAGAGATATCATCATCCCGGTAAAGGGTTTTTCAGCTAGGCCTAGATCCCTGTGAGGCCTGTGACTTGGGTCCTGATACTTCTTTAGCAACTATGGCAAAGATATAGGAAAACAAGCCAACACAAAGGACAAAATCTTAGGTTACAAGCAACAAAATGAAATACAAAAAGAAGGAAAAACAAAATGATAAGTAAGGAGAATGTCACATCTGAAGGCACAGAGTTCTGAAGAGAATCAGGTAGCTTGATGGGTTCCTGTTTCCTTGGAGGGTTTCTGGTGCTGAAAATGCAACTAGCCCACTCACTGTAGAACCCTCTGCAAACATAACGTCTGCCATCAAACTCCAAACTCCCATTGCAAATAGAGCACTTGTCCAATGGACCATAAAACAGCAAGTCTTGGCTGTTAAAAAATGCGGTGATTGTAATGAGTCATTACATTAAAGATGAAAATCCACTTTGAAGAAATAGTCTAATCTAAACCAGAACCAACCATCTTCGTGTAATTTCAAGATCAGTGCCAGAAGAATCAAGGCCATTGGCCTCCAGAATCTCTTTCATTTGCTCCAAAGGAAGGTGCTCACTTGTGGCTTTGCAAAACTCATCATATTCTTCTGCAACATCAGCTACAGTTTTTCCGTTGACGTGGCCATCTTCATTTTCCACCTTGGCCTTCTTAGGAGAATGCTCCACTTCATGTGCCTTGGACTCAGCTTTCTGCTTCCTTGTCATGACCTTCTCTTCTTCCCCAGGTGCATGGACATG